ATAATATACAAGTACCTTCAAAATTAAAATCCTAAAAATGAAGAAAACAATTATCATTATATTTGTACATGTAAAGTTTAACATACAGCACTTAAGACTTCATCTCTGTGACCATCCACACCTCCAAATATGGCAACACAAATGGCTGTCTTTATATTCCAGAGCCTCAGGGCATAATCTGTGGGAGAGAGAGAGAGAGGAGGAAGGAGTGAAAAAGAAAACAATAAAGTTCTTCTCCACAGGAATAAAGCATAGTATAGCCACATTCTCTATAGCGTACACCTCCATTTAACGGACAGCACCTAGTGTACCAATTACATTCCTTACTGTATAAAATAACCTCCACATAAAGGACACCTCTGTATAACAAAGCAATTTTCTTATTACTCCTTCCCTTTCACTAAAGGAAGCCATTCTCTCTCTCTCACTCTCCCATAAAGTGAAGCCATTATGAATACATTAATATAGAGGACAGTACTACTAATCCTCATACCTCTCCATACATTTATGGAGGGCCAGCTCTAGTCCTTTAAAAACTACTTAGAGGGTCGGCCTGTGGTTTTGGGTTGACACTCTGAGGTTTTGATGTAGCTCTTCCTCCTCAGGCTCTATACTATCTATACTACATGTACCTATACTGTACCTACATGTATACTACCTACTGTACCTATACTGTACCTCCACTCCTTCTCTAATACTAGCAGCTCCTAGTGTACTGTATAGTACTGCCAGACCCTGGTGTGCTGTGTACATTTAGCAATGGCTTCAATTAGTACTGACATTATATGATTATAATGCCTGTAGAGTGACTTATACCTTTTAATGGTTTCATATTATTGTTCTGGAGGCATTTAGACACTAAATTGTAATTGTTATCTTGTTAAGCTGAGCCCTTGAACCACTGTATCTTAGCATGGGGTTTTAGTCTCTCTTAATGGACACTCTCTATAGCGTACACCTCCATTTAACAGACAGCACCTAGTGTACCAATTACATTCCTTACTGTATAAAATAACCTCCACATAAAGGACACCTCTGTATAACAGAGACACTGTCTTGTACAAAAGTGTCCATTATATAGAGAGGCTAGTCTGTACATATTCATGTACATGTACATGTACATGAATAAAATCTTTTCCCTTTAACATTATGTGTATGTATCATATTCACATGTGTATTGATGTACATGTACATGTATATATACCTTTACTAGCTGATAGTAGGAGGTTATTGTCTTTTGGATGAATCTGTAACTCATTCACAGCATTACCATGACCTGTAAACGTCTAAACAACAACAAACAAATAATATAAACAAACAACAAACAAATTATACTTACAATAATGCACTGCATTGTATCTGTACTAAAAATAAAATAAAATCCAAATATAATTTAAATGTATCATAATAATGTTACCTTAATATTCTAATTATTCCTTTGACTCCGCCCACTGCTAATAACACCTCTCCGCTATCACTCAAGCTCCATGTAGATGTACCGTGTAGTGCAAAATTTTTGGGGCTGTAAATTTCATGGA